AAAATTACCAAGCACATAAAGAGAAGAGGGGAGAGTGAGGAATCTAGGAAAAAATATAGATCCTAAGGGCAAATACATCCTCTAATGAATTCTCTAGCCATTTACTCATTCATTCATTCAATGAATATCGAAATATCAAAATCTGTGCGAGGATCAATGTCAGGTGCTGGACATCTAAGCTGTTTCAAGCGTCATATGAACAAATCACCTAGGGGCTAAAAGACCAGTTCAGCTGGTGTTATATTTATGTCGATTTACCTTTAGTTTTTGCATTTTCCTAAGACTTCCAAACACAAAGACTAATGAGTGCCCATTACTATTTAGTGATAGATTTTGAAATAAACAGAAATCGTCTAGGACTGAGATTGACATCATTGATGCCTTTCCCAGACTCTAATTCCCTAAAGGTTCCATATAGAGCTAAGCCTAATTATCCCCTCAGCAAACCACAGAGTCACATGCATCAAGAGAAAAGTGATAAAAGACAAAGATAATTACCTCAAAGAGACATATAACTGAGTTAACCACATTTATCTTTTAACTGCACCTAGGTCCAAACGGTGATGGCATGAATTGGGAAACACTAATTTTAAGGCACATGTAGGAATAGTTGAAGGCACAGGAAGGGTGAAGAGAAGTTAGTCCAATATTTACTTTACGCATGGATTATCGTTCTTGGCCAAAGTTATTGGCAAAAACTCACCGATACTCTGGTACCTCTACACTAATCATCAACCAGTGTCTTCTATCCAGCTTATCACAATAAGAATTCAAATTGTTACCTCTATATTTCTGCATTTGTTTTTCCTTATTAAATATTCTGGCTGGCCAAGCACAGCGGCTCAAGCCTATAATCGTAATACTTTGGGAGGCCAAGGCAAGAGGATCTCTTCAGCTCAGGAGTTCAAGACTGGCCAGAGCAACACAGTGAGACCTCGTCTCTACCAAACAACAACGACGACAACAACAAAAACTTTAAAAGTTAGCCAGGCATGATGGTGTACACCTATAGTACCAGGTACTCGGGAGGCTGAGGCAGGAGGATCACTTGAGCCCAGGAGGTCGAGACTGCAGTGACCCATTATAGCACCACTGTACTCCAGCCTGTCTCAAAACAAAACAAAAATACTCTGGCTGTTGTCATTTACTGAGCCTTCAAAACAGTATGATGTGTGCTTTTTTTTCTTTTTATGTATGCCAAACCATGACAGTATAGTTTAATACAAATGAGATAGCTACTGCATATGAAGCACTAACTCTGGGTCTGGCACTGTGTAAGACAATTTTTAGGAGTTATTTACTTTTCACGACAATTGTAAGCGGTAATTTATTATTACCCACATTTTACAGATGAGAAAACTTTAGGCCAAAGCAGTTACATCCTGAAACAGAAGTACGGAGCGGGCAAGAGGGTGAGTTTAGTTTTGATGCTGGACAGACCCGAATTTCAATAGCGCCCTGCCCCTGGTATTTCTCCTCGCCTGAAGACAAAGCTGTTTCCTGAGATGAGAACTACTGTGGGGATGAGATGAAATCCAGTATGTCTGAGTGTCTGGCCTCTAGGAAATGCTTGTTTCTCCCTCCCTCCAGTGGTTATTCATCTAGAAATTCATGTCTTGCCTTAGGTAATGTCTTTATACAGTTTTAAAAGTAAGTACTTCCGGCTGGGTACAGTGGCTCAAGCCTGCAATCCCAGCACTTTGGAAGGTCAAGGTGGGTGAATCACCTGAGGTCAAGAGTTCGATGCCAGCCTGACTAATGTGGCAAAACCCCGTCTCTACTAAAAATATAAAAATTACCTGGACGTGGTGGTACACACCAGTAGTGCCAGCTACTCAGGAGGCTGAGGCAGGAGAATTGCTTGAACCTGGGAGGCGGAGGTTGCAGTGAGCCAAAATCACTCCTCTGCACTCCAGCCTGGGTGACAGAGTGAGACTCCATCTCAAAAAAAAAAAAAAAAAAGTAGCTACTTCTAGAAAAATAATGTTATACTGTACACAGTTCTGAAAATAAGGAAAAGGTAATTAGCAGGGCATGATGGCAGTGCCTATAATCCCAGCTACTTGGGAGGCTGGGGCAAGAGAATGACTTGAACCTGGGAGGCGGAGGTTGCAGTGAGCTGAGATCATGCCAGGCTACTGCACTCCAGCCTGGGTGACAGAGTGAGACTCTGCCTCAAAGAAAAAAAAAGAAAGAAAATAAATAAGGAAAAGGTTGATAATCCCTTACATCTATGGAGAGTGCTGTGGTTTTCAGTATCTTTTCACTCCTTTCCAATCGTTGTCTTATTTGATCCTTCATAAATAACTTAATATCTCAGACAATGTTTTCAGATTGGGTGTCTCCAGAACATAACAGCACTGTCTGTGGGCCTTGAAAAATGTTAATCCAGGAAATGATGTAAGAGGAAAGGCCCAGGCCTTTGCCTTCCCTTCTTTCCAGTCCCCTAGAGGCAGTCTGTCCCTTTCCCTCTCCTGGGTGTCTAAGTGTGCGTATAGGGAGTGGGGGTGGGAGGGTAGCCAGGGTTGGAGGTAAGTGAGGGGTGGAAGGGATGAATGTGACTGGTAGCTGTTTCTTCGGTTTCCATGGTAAAGATGCATAGCACAGAAGGAATGTGCTACCTTGCTTTATAAAAGAACACTTCATTTATTTTTTCTAAAGCTTATGAAAAAATCATCCTACACTCTTTCATTTAAACCAAAACTTTCTCCTCTTCCTAGAGTGGTCCAGAGAGCGTGGCCAAAAAAACCTGGAAAAGAGGTATCTCCTTTTCCCCCTACCCCACCCAGTATACCACCTGGCACACAGTAGGTGCTCAACAAATATATGAAGTTACTGTAGTGGGTGCTGTATGAATTAACTATCCTCTGTTGACAGTGCAGTAAACGATGTGATGATTCCTATAAGACCATAAAAGATCAGCTCAGTCACTCTCAGGCTAGCTTGTGAGGTCAACAATACTTACTTATCAAATAATTGATTAGTTCAGAGGTCACACAGTGGACAGATTTTGCTTTGGCCTGTAAGGTTTCAAAACACATTTTGAATGAACATTCAAAGCTTGAGAGATTCCACATGCATTTGCAGCTGGCTTGCTGTGAATAGTACCGACAGTACCTATCTAGCCCTTTTGGCAACTTAGTTTGGTACATGGGTTATAACTGCGTTAGACTAAATCAAAATTCAGAAAAGTTCCATTTCAGTTAGCTGTTTCAGGAGTTCATTTAATGCTGTATAAAACAGACACACACATACAGCCACCCAACAAAAAACAGAAGGTTCAGAATGTGTAAATACACAAGCCAAACCCTCCAGCCCTCAAATTTCTCACTGCTTCTGACTGTGCAGAGCCCCTACAATTGATTTGTAATGACCCTGTTCTCAAACGCTCCTCTTCCTGGGCTCCTGCCAACCGGAGGCATCAAGAGGAGAGACCACCTCGTCCCTTTCTAAGGCTTGACAAAACCCCCCATCACAACTGAGAAGGAATTCTTGATGCAAGCAGGAAAGTGGGAATTATAACCCCACTGATATAAAAAGCTAGCGGCACAGAGGCTTGCCATTTAGAAGACACTATTTAGGATTTTACAGAAATTAATCACATTAAATAGGAATAAAATACAAGTGATTTTCATTTATTATTTAAAAAATATGTTACAATGCTGAGAGTCCCCCACTTAAAAATTACTCCTGAGAAAGGCAGCTGGATTTTGATGAATGTCCCTTCCCAAATTGATGTCACCTACACCCTGGACCCTCCTGCTGGTCCAGTATGGTCCCTGGAAGCCACAGAGCCCCCACCCTGTTCTCTTGCTGCTCAAGTGACCCTTCCAGTCCTGCATGGCCCCTCCACACTCCTTCCCCACTTCTTGGCTTTATAGTTTGTTTTTTTTTTTAAACCTCTCCCCGGCCCACCACAAATACACCTCAAAGATATTTCGGTAATACACATTATATAAGAATAAACATTTATCAGGCACCTACTATGTGTCCGTTGCAAGTCTACTTACTAGAGAGAGGTCAACCCATTCAGTAACCAGTACAATCACCTGAGGCTTGCAGGATGGTGGCTGAAGATAGAATGTTCAGCGGCCAGACTACTGAGTGAGATTTTATCAAGGCTTGCTGACCACATCTGACGTGGCCCCAATGCTGTCTAGAAGGCGCCATCCAACTCTATGAGTCTATGATTACTGCTCCCGTTTTTTTTTTCCCCAGCTTTATTGGGGTGTAATTGACAAATAGAACTGCTGCCATTTTTAAGAATGTAAAATTTATAGGTGCCCATGTTGCTGGGAAAGAAACTTTTCTCTTTGACACGCCCTCCTATTTCCCATTAAAAGAGGACAGCTCATCTTATTAATTCTGGGTAAAACTGTGCCTCCTCAACACAGTCCCCTTATCTTACTCCACCAAACCGAGGGGCACCCTCACCCCTCATTACTGAACTCGAGATGCCACCCGATGCCGAAATCAAGCTAGAGGACTAAATCCCGCCAGCGTAGAAATGCTATTTCCTCCAGTTTGTCTCGATAATTGCAGTTTCCTCTATGGAAGTCCGTCATTAAAGTCCACTCCAAGGAAGTTCCCATAGACAAAACCCCAGCGACCAGACCTGGCAGAAGGGGAGTCAGCTCGATCTGCTCCGAGACCCTACAGAAGAAAAGGCGGGTCTGGAAGAGCTCCTGGGAAAGAAAGGGGATTTCCTGTCCCTGGTCCTGGATCTAGATCCAGACCCACTTGAGAAGCTCGGGAGGACTCTCGCGGGCGTGGCGACCCCAAGGAGCGCAGATTGCCAGAGTCGCAGGGTGGAGAGGGGCTGCAGGGAGAGGGCTGCCCCGGGAATTCCACACAGAGCCTCTTTCTCCTGCTTCCCTCCGTGCCCTCCTCTTCCTCCTCCTCCTCGTCCTCCTCCAGACGCCCCATCCCGGGGAGGGTGGGACCCAAGTGCCGGAGGATTGAAGGGTGGCGGGGAGGGGAGCCGGCGCCTGGAAGCCTACCGTCTTTTGCTTCTTGATCCCCGACATGCTGGTTGGCTGCGGCGGAGCCCGGGTCCCGGGAGCAGAGACCAAAGGACGCAGGGACGGCGGCGGCGGCGGCGGCGGCGGCGGCGGCGGCAGTGGCTGCCGGACTCCCGGGAAGGAGGTATAAAAAGGCTCCGCAGACACGTCGCACTTCCCTTGACCAGCCCCCTTCTCCTACTCCTCCTCCCGCCACGCTCCTCTCCGCCCCGTCGGTTCCGCAAGCAGCGCTCAACCTCGGGGACCCGGCCGCCGCCGCCTGGGCGGGGTCCCCGGCCCAGCCCCTACTCGCGGGCGCGCGCTCCGCCAGCCCTGGTCCCCAGCAAGACCTTGCAGCTGAGCGGCAGATGGCACCCCCGGCGCGCGGCCGGGGGTCAAGTTCACCCTGCCCGCCCCACCCCCGGAGGGTCCCAGAGCGTCCTCCACTCCCCTCACCAGCCTCCCGCACCTCTTCAAGGAAGTCGTCCTGCGTCTAGGGCCTAAGAGCTTATTTGATTAAGGGCAAAGATGCTTGAAGCCGCCAGGTTTGTTAGCAGGATCCTCATATGCAGTACTAAAAACGAAGGCCCACATTCATGGATTCTTACAATGCACTCCGCTGAGCTCTGTCTTAATTCTCATGGGCCCCCTCCATTCTGCCCCGACCCCAGGCAGCAAGTCCTACTAACTCCCCATTTTACAAACGAGGCAATTGAGGCTTTCAGACTTTGCCAAGATTATATTCCAAATGAGGGGATTCAAACCCAGGCTGTCAGCCTCCGCAGTGCAGGCTTTCTCCAGCAGCAGCATCACACATGGTGATAACTCCCAAGGCTCACAGCTTGTCTGTTCACTACGCATCGTGCTGAGGGGATTACATGCACTTCTTCCATTCCTGCTCACAACAGTATCGTCGGGTTACAGGTATGGACCTGCGGAGGCACGGCCCCTCCTCACAACGTCAAGCAAGTGGCAGTGGCCAATGGAAGTCCAGCGACCCCCAAAGTAGCACTTCTGTCCCACTGGAATGGGCCCTGAGGAGGAGGAAAGGAGGCACAAATTGAGCAGGACTAGTCCTAGGGCTCCAAGATTTTACCAGAGGTCAGTGTGAGGCAACCCTCTGAAAGAACCCAAATGTCAAGGCCCAGTAGAGGTAAGAGAGAGAAGCTCTAGTGACAAGCACTTTGGGGGCAGTCACTGGGTCTCACGCCCCTTGTACCTTAACTGACTCCTTGTATAATGCCACAAACGGATGGATATGACCATACCCTCAAAAGAAGTAACGTGACACACAAGAGCCACACTTCTCATTCCCACTGTAGTGTTCGTGCTGTGAAAGAGTTGGAGTAATATTCTAAGGAGGTGAGAGATGGGACTTTTCTTTCATACCTAATTGTATTTCTGGAAGACTGCCAGCTTTCCAGACAGACACTTGATCTGAGTATTCAGTGACTGCCCTTCGCCATGGGAAGGTGGGAAAGAAAAATAAATCAGGAGTCAGAAACTTAAAAGGCAGCCTGCATTTCTGTACAATCTCGAGTTGTCGGCTTATTTATTTTCTTACTCATTTTGAGTAAACTGCCACCACTCCCTTCCAATGTAAGCAGCTAGGGGCAAATACTGAGTTTGAGTTTCTGTTCTGCATACAAACTAGCACATTTTAAATGTATATGAAATTGGCAACATCCTATTCTTATTTCATTGGAAAAATCCTTTTATATTAGTTTCTGCCATATCTTAGAGTCTGCCAGATCTTGCCCTAAGAGAAGGTAAAGTAAGTGTGAATTTAAAAATAGCAATTTGCGGCCAGGCACTGTGGCTCATGCCTGTAATCCCAGCACTTTGGGAGGCCGAAGCGGGCAGATCACCTGAGGTCAGGAGTTTGAGACCAGACTGACCAACATGATGAAACCCTGTCTCTAGTAAAAACACAAAATTAGCCAGGTATGGTGGCACACGCCTGTAATCCCAGCTACTTGGGAGGCTGATGCAGGCGAATCGCTTCAACCCGGGAGGCAGAGGCTGCAGTGAGCCGAGATTGTGCCGTTGCACTCCAGCCTGAGTAACAAGAGTGAAACTCCATCTCAAAAAAAAGAAAGATAGATAGCAATTTGCATGATTATTCTTTTTTTTATAGTGCATCTAAAAACAAAAAGCAATCTTCTTGAAACAGAATCAAGTTAAGGACAAATACCTAAGGGCTACTTCCTGGGAAAGAAATATATGATTGTTTAGACCCGGTAGATGTTTTGAGATCATTTGTCCAGTTTCCCCATTCCTGTATTTTACATATGAGTAATGTAAAACTGGTCCTCAGGGAAGGGAGGGCATCTGACTGTAGTCACTAGTTAGGAACAGAGCTGAGGCTTTAACCCAGGTCAGCCTGACTTCCCAAGTGCTCTGACCCCAAATGTCCTGTCCACTGAGTCACTCAGCTTCCACGCCAACTATTTCAATACCCCCTGATAACTGTAAACGGGACTGCTTATCTTGTTTTAGATTTCATTCATTCTCAAAAATTATTTTAGAATAGATACTCTTACTGTGAAAATGGAGGCCTCAGTTCTTTTGGACCCAAGCTAGGCTGTTTATGACCCTTTGATGTCACAGATCACCAGTTTAGTCGTGATTCAGCATGGCAGTTTACTAAAAAGCAAAACACTCTATTTTTTATTTTCTCAGGGTCTTTCATTTTAAAGGTAATTATTTTGATTTCTTTTTCATCTCGCTACCCTCTTGCTCTTAGGAGAGGACATTCTTTCTGAAAAGATATGAGCAACGAGAAACTTAATTTTCGGAGCCTATGATTCTGACATATAGGAACTGGGAGAAGGCTCATTCAGGGGACAGAGGAAGGGGTGAGGTCTTCCGCTTCATGCAGACACACAGTCCGTAACTTCTTCAGTCGTGTTCCCTCCAAGACTCCCCTGAAAAGCACCACAGATAACATTGTACCAATTGATCATCCCTGATACTACTGATAACATTTACATGAAGGTTTCCCCTGTACCACCCTCTCTCCCACCATCATTTTAATTTCTTCCAGAAACTATCTGGGCTTGCATAACTTAATAAAATGGTGATTGCTAGCTGATCCTTATATTTTTTAGAAAATATAGAATCAGTCAACTCCTCCAAATAAACAGCAGAAGGATATACAAAGAATGCCAGTGTTGGTGAGATGCTTATGCCACAGTTTCTCCAACGCATTTTAGGGGAGGCCATCACATTAGGGTCTCTAACTTGGAGGCAACACCACTGGGTGGTCATTACAAAGGAATGTGACTATATTGCCCCCTCGTGGTTGTAATGCATAAATGCTGAACAAGACCTGAAACCCCCCATACAAAAATAAGTGCAGCATTCCATTGGGTGAAGAGCACTTAGTAAAAATCCTTGAGGATCTGAACACTTTTCCCAGGCACAGGTACTACTTAGATGAGCAAGACATGGTCCCTGTCTTCAAGAAACTCACAATCTATCGAAAGAGAAAGATACCCGACTCCCTTCCTGCCCCCCACCAGTTTCCCTGTCACTTCGGTACATAATTGGAACAGGTAAAGATGATATGTGCATGCCTTAGACATTTTATTTTGACTTAACACATACACGTTACTAATCTTTTGATATGGGGCCAAAGGCTTCTGTTGTGACATGAGTCTACTGATAGGAACTTCATAAACTCCTTTCATTAGGCATCTTCAACAATTTCCAGGTTGGGATTTTATAAAGTGGAGCTTGAAATTAAGGGCACTTAATTTCAAGTGCCTGAAAGGAGATTCTTTCAAGATTACTACATGCCCCTCCCCTATCCTTGTCTATAGTTTTGCCTATGGCTCATTCAAAAGTACGATTTCTAGCAACTTATCTTTCCAATGCATCCATCTGTTTTCATAGAAAACACAAGTCTTTTCACTCATGTGCTATTCACTTAAGTGACATCTAACTAAATTACTTAATTAAACTAACAACTACGACTGGCAGACACAGGTTTGAGAACGAACAATGGATCCCAGCAAACACGTAGCTTAGGTGAAGGAGTGGGCATTTCAGTGCATCCTCCTGTTGAAGAACACTGTGGGCATTGGTCATTATTTTCTCTCAAAGAAACCCAGAATGTGGATTAAACTGGTCGGTAAGTTAAAGGAGATTGTGAGCACACAAAGGAGGGACATCTAGTTCAACTTTGGGAGGAGAGTGGAGACTGATGTCCGATTTTCTTGGGGAAAGATCATACATGAACTGAGACTTTAAAAAATGGTAGGAGCCAGGTGTGGTGGCTCAGGCCTGTAATCCCAGCATTTTGGGAGGCTGAGGTAGGTGGATCATTTGAGGTCAGGAGTTCAAGACCAACCTGGCCAACATGGTGAAATCCCGTCTCTACTAAGAATACAAAAAAAAAAAAAAAAAGATCCAGTCTTGGTGGTGCGCACCTGTAATTCCAGCTACTCGGGAGACTGAGGCACGGGAATCGCTTGAATCCAGGAGGTGGAGGTTGCAGTGAGCTGAGATTGTGTCACTGCACTCCAGCGTGGGTGACAGAGTGAGACCATGTCTCAAAAGAAAACAAACAAAAAAACACAAGTGGTAGGGTTTTTGTCAGCACTCCCTCCATAAGATGGGTGTGTGTGCAAACTTGAAAATTGTAAAGTAGAGAGATGCATGAAATAACATGGTATGTTCAGAAAATTATAAGTATCTGTATTGCTGATTTTAGGAAATGCAATTGAAGAGTAGGGAAAGTTGTAACAGAGGACCTACCGCATACAATCAGGTGGCAGCATGCTTTTGCACATTCTCTTCTTCATGCCCTTCAGAGTGTGTTAGCCATGTGGCTGGCCTCCCATTTGCTCAGTGGTAATTAGGGACACTTCCTGGCCCAAGAAGGAGAAGTCACTGTCCTGAGGTGCCCATGGTCTGATGTGGGAGATGGAGATGTACACAAATAATTCCGATTTTTTTTCTTTGAAATGGAGTCTCACTCTGTTGCCCAGGCTACAGGGCAGTGGTGTGATCTCGGATCACTGAAACCTGTGTCGCCAGGGTTCAAGCGGTTCTCCTGCCTCAGCCTCCCAAGTAACTGGTATTACAAGTGCCTGCCACCGCACTTGGCTAAATTTTGTAGTTTTAGTAGAAACGGAGTTTCACAATCTTAGCAAAGCTGATCTTGAACTCCTGACCTCGTGGTCCACCTGCCTCAGCCTCCCAAAGTGCTAGGATTACAGGCGTGAGCCACCGCGCCCAGCTGTACACAAATACTTCTAAGGAAATGTGATTAATTGCTGGAATAAAAGGATATTTAAAGCAATTTTAAAAGTACATAAAAACAGAGGTGATGACTGCTGGAC